TGATGATGATGATGATGATGATGATGATGATGCTGATGATGATGATGATGATGATGATGATGGTCAGTATCTCGGTTGGTCTCGTCTAGAACAACATGACAGTTTCCCAGCCACCGTGCTTCCTTCAGGTGGCATGGTAGCTCAGTGCTGAAAGGCTCTTATAGACCAACGGTTTTGCTCAACTGAATGTCCTACGTACAGATCTTCATTAAAACAAAATCAGCTTGCAAACGAGTGCAGTTCACAAACTGATGTCCTCTACTTCCTTTTTCCAATCACAGAATTCCCAGAAACGCCACAGTCCGATACTTCAGTGTTGAACAATTATTTGGTGGAGATACTCGGTAGTTGACTCTGTCGCTAAAAATGTCGATAACGTTCCAACTGATCTACATGGGCAGCAGGGACGAGTAGGTGGAACTGTCTGGGATCGGTTACGTTGTATCAACCTTGCGTGGGCCTCCAGCAACGTAATCTTTGTTGGTTGACAAATCCATCATGAATGCTATTCATTTGATAATATACATTCACTCACAGACTGTCTTTGTTATCCTCAGAAAAGACCTCGTACACCGAAATAGAAGTCATCTATCGTTTCAGAAGAGCTTGGTAAACAATCGGTAGTTTTTTTTGTTTGGACAACGTTTCGCTTTTGACACAGAATCTTTGTCAGGCCAAGTGAACAGGTCACTAAGTTGGACAGGTTTTAAGGCACCAATCAGAACCAATCAGAAAGTCCTCTTCACACTAGATCAGTGTTAAGTGTCAATTAACGGCTCTTGTCGACTAGCGTGGTTGCCGAAATCTCTAATTGATGGGTTGGAGGAGTTTCAAATTAGTTCCAATCGGTTCTTCTTCCTTAATCTTACTTCAGGGTGCTTATCAATGGATGATTAACCGCGGTTGCCACTGGTAGATTTCGATGGTCTTTGTGGGGCTGAGTGCTGCGACGATTTGTTCACCAAGCTAGCCAGATTCTAAGGTAGACTGGGAACCAATCAGCAAGTTCTCTTCAAATTATCACACTGGATCATCGTTGAGTGTCAATTAACGGCTCTTGACGGCTAGTGTGGTTGCCAAAATCTTGAATTGATGGGTCGGAGGAGTTTCTACAACCGCCCCTCACCCACGCTTGTCAGTTACATCCTCCCTATTCCATATGTACCGGAAAGCTTTGCGATTTCCACCGCCTCGGTCACCAGTCGCTGTGTTGTGAATCGCAATCCTGGTCTGAAAACATCCACGCCTTACATGCCTTGCCGTTACAGAGTCTTTAACTGTCGCCTCATATTCATATACCTGTCTGGGTGATCTGTTTATGCACCGTTTATGCTCACCGATTGTGGTGTGCAACTCCCCGGCTGTTTGACCACTATTTGACCTTGGTGCACTCGTTCCTTTTTTACTTTGTACACATAGTCTTCAGTCGTACCAGGTGGGCAGCGATCCTTCAACGGCGCCAACAATGTGCATACAGTGTTGCTCTTCTGGAATGCCACAGTGTCGTCGTCAACTTTTGTAAGGCACGACTGCTGTTCCGCCTTACTCCTTGTTGGATCTTGATGTCATAACCAATACCGGTTCTAGTTACAGCTTTAAAATACCAACATTTCTTTTCACCTAAAACCGGTCCTGGTGAAAATCCAACACAGGGTGGAGTGAGAACCGACGGTCTCTATAGGACCAGAAATCCTATTACCAGAGTTATTTTATATACCTGCGTTAGTTGCCTTCCAAACGATTATTGGCGGGTTCAGAAATGTGAAAACCTATTCTAACGCACTGTCACATCAATCAGCCGACGGTCTGTCAACTCCGGTAGCGGGAATGTCCACACATACATGTCAGAACTGTCACGGTTCTCGACTGGCTTCCAAGCTGTCTGTTGCTGAAGTTCGGATTCCCGAGACATGCTTTAAAAAATTCTTTCAAAAAGACAGTGTTCATAATTCTAACAGCTTATGGGGACGGTTTCTATAAATGGTAGGGAAAGCTTAGTGTGGACTACTTATATGGTTGCTGAAAACACATCGACAACCCACGACCGGTTTCGCCCTTCTTGGGGCTTACCAGGTAAGCGCAGTCCCCGAGTTTCCGTCAAACTTATGTTCTACTTGAACCTAAATTGCACGAAATTAGTGAAGTTCACTCATTTGCAGACAAATTTGTTTTTGAGGGACGCTCACCTGGAACCCAACTTAATCTCTCGTTCATTATGATGTTTTGAAGCACCAGGCAGCCTCGTGTTTTTGTTGACAGGGTATTATCGATTTATCGCGATGCATGTATGGAAGTATAGACATAAGCGAGGCATTCAGCTGGGTTCCAGGTGAGCAAGCATCCATCCAGCGACCGCATCTGACATTGCGTTCAACACAGTAAACCCTACGGTCGATAATTTTGCCGAGCCTTGTGCTATCCGCGAATGCAAGGTGAATCAGCAAAAAACAGATGTGCATTTTGTTGACACTACCCCCGGGTGAACTGCAGAACAGGCACTTGATGTGATAACTTCCCATTTTTATAATTTATTTATTGTCGTAATCTATAGTGCATGTCCAATCACATGCAGCGAGGTTAAACCTTCAATTTACCTAGGAATAACGACAAATGAGGGAGTGTGTCGAACGCTAACAAAAGTCATTCCACAAAGAGAGAGAAAACTCCTCTAGAGATTTTAGGATAACGTCAACCGCCAAGCATATCATCTCTGCAAAAGGTAATGCAGAACTACTAAACAGCTGAACTATTCAGTTCAGAAAAAGAGGCGAGAAGATCCGGCCCCTAAAACGTTCGAAACACCCAGATTCATTCACTGTTTCATTATTCCAACTCAGACAGTTGCTAACTAGCCATACTTAATCAAATTAGCTCTGAGGATTATTCACCTCTAGCATGTATTTCGCTCCCCTTTTGGGAACGTTTCATCAGTGGAGTAGAACGAGAAACTCATAAATCAAAGTGTTCAGGACGAATTCGAATAGGAATGTATCAACGCAATTGTTAGACGGTTAGTCCTTGTTCACCCTCAAAATTGTAGCAAAGACATGCACAACGTTACTTTTGCAATGGGGCGGCAATGTCGGCGCGTTTCCTTCTGAATCATTAATAATAAACAAGTTTGTCTGCGGAGACCTGAGCAGGTGCTTGAGAGACACAGAGTAGCACGTACCAGATTACCTGAGCAAACACAAAGCAACTGATGGCAATCTAGCTTCATCGATCACTCTAGACAGTTATTCTACAGACAAGTTGATTAGAGAGTAGCTAGGTTAGGCAATTTATCGAGAACCGCAATAACTGAAGGAAACGGTCCCTTGTATATGCTTGAAATGACGAGTAGCCATATCGGACATATGCTTACCCCATATTCTCAGTGACCATTCTCAAGCCAAGTCGACTGCGTGGAAGCAACGCTCAGATTGTACTCAATAAAAGGTGAGTGGCTGGAAGTTCTCTGAGTGCAGCTACAACCATCGGTGACATAAAGCTATGCGTGCATCTCGTTCGGAAGGGTGAACCTGGCGCGCTTCATTCAAAAAAATCATAAACGTTCGTCATGAATCAATGCCCACAAGCATGTGATGCAGCTCGTGTTTTTGCTATTGTTTATACGCCTGGGACTAAAGTTAGTAGTTCCTCAGGCGGGCTTCTAAACATTTGCGTCACTCCTCGTCTCTCTCTCTCTCTCTGTATGTGTGTGTGTCCTTCCTAGCAAACGGTACTAAAACAAAATCTATCGGACTAAAGTAAGAAAGAACGAGGGTCTCAGGAAGTGAGGACAACTACTCACTCGTTTGAGAACTTCCGCTGTTCCACTTTCGTAGCGGATTTCGGTCGTTTTGCGTGGAAGCCACGTTGGAAAAAGTTCTGTTGAAAAATGGAGACAACGGAACAGTATGAAACAGTGACTGGTAAATTGCATTTGGAAAGAGTTGCTTTCCTGGGATGTGACCTTCAGCGGCCAGCCCATTAGGGCGAATTTCAATTGTATTGTCTCTCAAAATGGGCGAACTCTTTGGGTCGGGGCTCGAAGTTTATAGTGGATAGTCGCACAAAACATTTTATCACGACGTCACATTATTTGCTTTGGTTTACTTCGGCACACGCATAAAAAACTGCGAGAGCCTTACCCCTAGAAGGATTACGAACAAGGCTTAACCGTTTTATCCGTTGTTTGGAAGTAAGACGACCAGTCCTGAGGAGAGTGAACAGTGCAACCAGTGTCTGTGAAGCTAGACGGTCACTTATAAGTAGTGAGTAAGTAGATGATGAGTAATGTTGTTAACCTACCTCCCAACAGGGAATAGCCCCTTTGCTTGGGAGAAAATTCACTGTTTCGGAGAAAAAAAACAAAAATGACAGTTACTTTAAAGTCGCACAATGCCCTCTTTGAAAATCAAGTTGATGAGCAGTGTGTTTCTTCAAAAAGCTCCTAAAATTTTAATGTTTTATTAGCAGTAAGTTTACGGATTGATTCATCGATGATTGGACTTTGCAGATCAATACTGATAACTGATTAGATGACTTCTTCCTAAATCAAGCTACTTTTGAAGTTGCTGAGAACTCTTCGACAGAAAAAAATCGTCCAGCTTTAGCATCCTTTTGGTGCTTAGCTGCCATGCCACACGAATGAGGCACGAGGGCTGGGATACTGTCAGGTCGCCCAAGCCTAGACAGAGGAAGTAGAGTGGCAGAGGTCGGGTTCGAACCACGGACCTTACGATCAGTAAATTCGCGCTGTAACCACTTGGTCCATCTCACCCCCTTCGACAACAAACTTGTGAGTAGTGCCTTTCAGGAAATTATGTCGTAATATCATAAAGTGCGAGGTGGCGTTTGTACAACACATTCTGTTGAAAATTACCGTAAACGAGAGATTCAGATGGAATTCACTTGAGTTTCTTTTTAAAATCAAACTGGTGTGCAAATGATGGCTTTTTAGTTTGACCAAGGAGACAGTTGCGACCTTCACCCATAAACTTTTTATGCTCACCCAGTTGTTGTTGCTCACCCAGCAACAACATCAAGTGCTACCGTACGCCTGTTTTTTCCTGAACTAGGAGGCTAGCAGTCCACTCAAAAAGCGCACTAAAACTCACCTCAATACGTTGAGGTGAAGTCGCTGCAGACGGTTTCCAGTAGCTTACCTCTTTCAGTTGTCCGAATGACCTTGAGATTAAGTCAACCAGATGGACATGAACTTCTGATGTAAATGTATCTTTCTGAGGCAACTGCACAGATTAGACCAGACCCTAGGGGAGAGCGACTTTGTCTGCCTACAAACGTTTGTTCACTAATCTGGGTGCGTTCAAGCGTGTCCTCCCGCTTTCCTTGCACGCGATCACGTTTTATTGAAAGGATGTGATTTCTCTAAGAGTGAGGTTTTCTCGTAGCTGATTGGGGCGCTTGCTGTGTGGTCTTATTTCGTTATACCTGATCGATCCAGACCACAAGGTAACACAAATCACTAAAGGACCAATCAGAGGAGACGGTCAACACCTGCGACCACGTGATGTGGATTGAAGCATGAGCGGCAGTATACTCTGTCTAAGTGCGAGTTACTCACATTGCTGATCAACCGATCGTGGCAAACTGCCAGTCGGGAAGTCGTCGGTTGGAGACCCCTACTGGACCTTCGTGGGATCCGCTAATAGCTCCAAGTAAGAACAAGACAGTTGTACAATGCTTCTGAGCTATTCGGCTTACAAGGTGAAATCTCTTCACACTACAAACAACCAATCAGATTGCAGACAGACCACTATGGACTGTTGAAGAGTTTCCAACTTTCTTAAAAGTAGTGTCCACTAACAAGAGGACACGATGTGATTCTAATTGAGGATAGAACAAGACATCCTCGGAAAGGTGCATACAGGTGGCTAGAGCATATACGGAAACTGGGCAACGGAGACCTGTTTATCACTTCTGTGTGCCAATGTCAGAAGCACTATTCTTTTGGGTAGATGTGAGAGGGCTGGAGGTAGAGTTTAGAATTTAAATAAGATGAATGCACTCCATGAACATCAATCACAAGCTCGTACAATTGACATCTCGTCACATCACCTGTTAGCTTGTCATGAGCATACTGAATATGTGAACCTAAAATCACACAACCTCCAAACAGGAGCATTCGGGTTCCTTTTAGCTGACCCCTCTAATTCAAGCTTTTTATTGTTCATTATGTACACTGTATTAGACCGAGAAGTTAGTAGCATCAAACTGAGAAATATCCCAAGAGATACTACTGTGGATGAAAGCGAAAGTGGCTTCTTCTGAAACAAGATGCACCAGGTGGTGTCTGATAGTGGAGCTCTCCAGGTGAATTTCCTTTTTTAGAAGTAAGAAAAATGAGTGCATGTCTATTTGTCTATAGGCTCAGCCAGGAAGCGCACGCACACTCCATAGTATTGGGACCATATGCGAGAATTCACCGTCGAGTTTCTCCAGCCTTGTTAAGAGAAAATTGATCGCATCTGTCGTAATGCACGACAGACGTACAAACCTGGTGGCTGAGACCTACCACAGGCGTCACTCTCTTGTGTTACGGTAATCGTCAACTGTTCTAAGCAATTGCTGTTGGTTGTACCGGGTGAGTTTTGGAGAGGGGTAAAGAAGCGTATTGTGAGTTAACCGTTTGCAAGCATTAACAGATTGCAACTTTATTCTGGCTAGCCATACAATAATGAGTCCGGGCTGACTCTCTCATCGACCTCCGCTGTCAACAGAACAACCGGTTAACCTGCGCAGACAATCCCACGTGAGATTTTGGCGCGTTACAAATAAAGGGCAGGAATAGACCGGGTGGCAGAACTCATGTGCTCTCATTCCCAGGTTGAGAAAGTGGACATATGCTATTGATTGCTCAATGAGTTCATCTTGGACGTTGCTAGGAAATGGATTGCGTAGGCTGACAGCTTTACATGAGATAATCCGGACGAAGTTGCTGCGTGACGAAGCCTGTCGTCAAACAGCTGTTGAGTTCCAATCAAAGTATATGCGTACTACAGGTTGTCTCATAATAGATGCAAAACTTGATTGGGTAAGCAAACGTGGCCAATTAAAGAAAAGGTAACAAAATATTTCATTATTAGTAGTCACATAGAGGAGATTTTGTTTGCAAGTATAAGCATTTTTTTCTGTTTACGATGGATGTCAGTACGTGCACCGAGATTGTGAAACTCTATTATTCCCTTGATGAAAGCGCCACCACTGCACTTCGTGGTTACAAAACTAAACATGGTCTCATCAAAGATCCTTTCACGGTGTCGACTATTACACGCTTGATTGCGAAATTTGAGTCCACTGGATCTGTATTAGATTTTGCTGGCAAAGGGAGAAAGTCTCTGAGTGATGAAACAGCACCTATCATACCAAATGCCGTTGATCAACTTCAGTCCCGGAGGACCATGGCATCTTCGTCAATAACTCAGGTGTCTCAGTTGACCGGCATTCCCCGCGCCAGCGTGCACCGTATTATGAGACGCCACCTTAATGGAGTTAAAAGCAAGAATTGAAGAGGAATGTGCAGAAGTGACGCTTGAAGAAGTAAAACATGCTGTGTCTCAAATCTCATACCGCCTCCAACTTGTTATAGAAGAAAGGGGTGGCTTTTTTCAACAACTTTTGTAATATTAGTTTATTCACAGTAAACCTCCATAATGGAGATATGTTTATATAAAAAATTATAAATGTTTAAATTAATGTTAAAGTTTTAACATGGGTATTATTTTTTGTGCCTATTATGAGACACCCTGTAGAGATCCAGCTTTATCCATTTTAACCATAGTTATAGGAGATACAATAATATATGGGGCCATTGTACCGGATTTTTCGCTTTACATGCCTCATACCTAAAAAGGGAGTGGGCTTTCTGTGAACTGGGCCCATTGCGTCTAAAATACCGCTCCCTCTTGTTAGGAACCATCAGTTGGTGCATCTTACGGATTCCAGAAGAGGTTCCATTCTAACACGGATGAAAAGTCTGCAAGGTACTCTTAGGCCATTCAACTAATTCCACATGTGAGCTGCTCCTCTGGAGACCCAGCAACTAAGAGCCCTGGATTTCACCTCGTCTACCAAGATTTGAGGTCGTCTTCGTATCATCTTGATTAGCTTGCATCACACGTATGAACACTTCAAGCTGTTTGAAACTCAAACGCACTCAATCTGCTCACTGGTGGTCACCCATGACAAAGTCCGAGAGAGAGAGAGATCACTGAGAGGTAAAGTACCAATAAGAAAGATGGTAGGGGGAGGGTTTTCAGTAGTAGGCATAAGTAGTATATCTTTGTGTGAAAGTGAAGAAAACAAGCACACAGTTTCCAGAAGGCCAAAGTCTTATTGTTCACGTTTTGGGTTGCAGACCGATCCACCTCATGATACTGTCATCGTTGCCAAATGGACCATTCAGGGTTATCTCCCTGATGGGTATTCAGACAGCCTCCCAAGACTTTTCCAACAGGCTTTCGAAAACGATAACTTTTTCACATAATAACGTCAAAAGGGATGAAATTCAGCATATGAACTGCATCACTGACTCCAGAGGTTCAGCAAGCCTGGATATGTAGAACAGAATACCTCAGTGGTCTAGGTGTCTTCTTGTCGACTGTTATCGATTATTTTGAGTGTGTTTATACGAGGATGTAGCGATTTTGACGAATGATCTGAGAAGCAACATTTTATGTGAATTTGGTGGGGATGCGACTACCACAAAAATCAGCGTCTGTCAGACAGTAGACATCTTCATGCAGGACACATACATCAAAACACGTGTCACAGAGCAACCCAAGTTAAATCTGTGGTAAAATGTTAAACGATCGCACGGAATTCCGCGTGTTCCTTTATCACCCACATACCTTTTGCTGATGGTT